ATATAGCTATACACACATATAAATATATATATAAATATAGCTATACACACATATAAATATATATATAAATATAGCTATACACACATATAAATATAACATAGGGAGCCCAGCTGGCAGCTGCTGCACATTTTCACATGCTCTCTCTTGTTCCTTCCTTCCCAAAGCACCCCCACTTGAAAGGCACATCTGCCAGCAGATGGAGATCTAGGAAGAAATGGGAATATGGAGTAAATATGGGGCCTTGTGTGTCACACACATGTGCTCCCATCAGGGACTGTAAAACACGGCTCGAACTGGGGAATTTGAGGCCTGCTGTTGGAAGAATAGGAATCCCTTTAGCTGTTCAAACTTTAAATATAAAACAATAACAGAAATTGTCAGCAAAGTGCCCCAGGATCTTCGCCTTCACTTCCATGGATCCCAGCTGCCCAGTGTTAATAACTCCCAAGCCTGGCAGGACCTGCAGGGATTCCTGTTTTGGTGAAACACAGGCACACCTTCAGTGATCCATGAAGGGCCCGATGGCCTCACAGTCAGCATGGCTGGGGCCAAGCTCCTGCAGAAAATTGGTGGTGGGACAGTGCAAACAAGAGGCTCTTTTTTTTTGTAAATTCCCTCAATTCAGGGCAAAATGGGGATATTTCCAGTGCTGGGTCAGGAAAGTGAACAAGCCCCCTGATAAGTCCCTGAGAATGGCACCAGGAGAGCTTTAATCTCTCAGCAGAGACATTCACGTCTGAGGCAAAGAACTGCAGCCCTTGTTCTTTCTCTGCACTGACAAAGAGGCTTCATTCCTCCCTGAAATGTTTCAAACTGATGTGTGTTATGAGCTGAATTATTAACCAGCACCATTATCTGGAATCTAGAAGCTCCCCTTTGAAGTGAGCAACAGCTCTTCTACTCCACCATCAGCTCCTGGAGGAACAGCTGGGAGAGAAAGAGCTTCCAACTGAAGGAAGAGGCTGAAGGGGCACCGACTTTGGCTCTAAAATGGAACCAAAGTGCTCTTGGTGTCCTCTTCTGTCTCACTAATCTGGGGACATTTGGGATTTTCCCTTTCATTACTGTCTTTGTGCGTTGTTTGGCCTCAGATGTTCTGCTGCTGGTTTTTCTCCTGTGTCTCAGCATGGGTATCAGCAGACTGGTGCAATTTTTATTTCGTGACTCGAGACGAAATGTTTGGACTTCTACATCAACTTCACCAGTCTGGTGGGTTTTTTTCCCCTGTTACTTCCATAGTCACCTTATTACTCAGCATTTCCTTAGGAGCACTGTCACCCCCCAGCAAACAGATCTGTGGACATCATCTCCAAATTGTGACATCCAGGCTTCTGACACAACTCCCAAAACTTCAGGTTTTAATTACTGATCTAATTTATGCCCTTGTCCACAGAACAGTAATTAGTTTAAGCATCTCTGCAGAAGGGTGTTGGTAAGTACACAGAGAGGTTGTACAAGTGTAATATTTTAACTGTAATTTTTAAGGACTGGCACTGCCACCAATAACTAAACTATTCTGATCTCCCCTTTCTGTGATAGTCTCAGAGTAGTTTTCTTGGGAATCTCTGAAAAATGTGGAATCTGTTCTTACCAAGGGAGAGGAAATTGTTCCCACTGTGTTTTCCAGATGAATCAGTTCCTTCTACAGATACAACCAGAGGCTGAGTTCCTGAAGGGTCACAGATCACACTAATGCGCTCCTTAAAAGAGAAAAAAAGGTAAGAAGAGAGAAAGATAAAAGAGTGAAAGAGAGAAGGAGGGAGGAGGGAAGGGAAGGTTTGGGAAGGGAAGGTTTGGGAAGGGAAGGTTTGGGAAGGGAAGGGAAGGTTTGGGAAGGGAAGGTTTGGGAAGGGAAGGTTTGGGAAGGGAAGGGAAAGAGAAAGGGAAAGGGAAAGGGAAAGGAAAGAAGAAAGAGAAAGAAAAAAAAAGAAAAAGAAAGAAAGAAAGAAAGAAAGAAAGAAAAAGAAAAAGAAAGAAAACCAAAGATCACACAATATTTTCTTGTAATCACTTTAGGAACAAAATAATAACTATTCTTGTAATATAATAATATAATAATTCTTATCATAAGTACCCCAAAAAAGCATCTAACCCAAGGTGAGCACTGCCTGGATGGGTTGTGTAATTAGTGTTTGTTACTCAGAATTAAGGGTGCCAAATTGAAACTCAGGCCTCACAAAACTAGGCAAAACATGAACTCAGAAAATTAGAATGGACAAATGCCCTCACAGTCTGAAATCTGCCCTCAGGTATCAAACTAGACAAGAGAAATGAGCCAGGATCCCAAATAGGTCAGGCTGGAAGGGACCCCAGAGGGTCACTGGTGCCACCTCCCTGCTCAGGCAGGGCCAGCCCAGAGCACAGGGCACAGGATTGTGTCCAGAGGGCTCTGGAATCTCCCCAGGGAGGAGACTCCAGCCCCTCCCTGGGCAGCCTGTTCAGAGCTGGGGCACTGCCCAGGGAAGAAGTTCTTCCTCCTGTCCAGGTGGTTTTTCCACAGAAAACAGAAACTTAAAAACTGTTTATCAGAAACAATCTGACCATTTATCTAAATTTTCAGTGAAAATCTTTGCCTTCACGGCAAATCTCAAAATACTCTCTTAAATAAGACTTAATGTAACCTGAAAAAGCCTCCACCTCATCACCATGAATACACCTGAACATCAAATAACTTTCAAAGCAGAAAGAGGACAATGAGGAGTTTCAAAAGCAGCAAGTCCTACCCAAATGAAACTGTCAATCCCGTTTTAACAGCCAGTGTCTGTCCTGATGCTTCTTTTGGAGATAAATCAGAGTTAGAGGACACTGGAAGGGTAATTTCTTCTGACAAAGGTGAGTCATATAAAGAAGTTGAGCAGAAACTCAGGTATATTTAAAAGTATGGTTTTATTTTGGAAGAGATCTAATATGAAAGATTAGTCCTTAGTGCCAGATTATCCTCAGACTTTCTGGCTGAGGTAATGGTTAATAAAAAGCTAATTCCATAGATGAATGAATTAAAACAGGAAGCCACAGGATCACCTACCAGGAAAGCCATATCAGATCAAGTGCTGGTGAAAGACTTGGCCTCTGAGCAGCAGGAACACCAGCAGTTCCTGAAGGGAGTAGCACAGAGGTGAGATCCCTTCTCTGGTGCATGGAGTTAAATCCTGCTGAGGATCCATGGAGCTGTGCCTGCAGAGAGCCATA